AGGAAAGTATCTAGAACTAGCCTATATTTGTCTAAAATCTGTAAATCCCAACAAGTGTCGAGGCCGAGAGAGCTTTTTCTGCTACCAGTTATCTAGTAAATGACATACGGAGCTCGTTATCATACCACAGCGTAAATATATTGTTTTCTTCGGAAATATTTTCAGCAAAACCAATAAATAAAAATAAATAATTTTCTCAATTAATATTAATTTCGTTATTTTATATTAAATACATATCATTTTGTTTATGTTGTACATCTTAAGCCGTGTTGGGGTGCGTAATACAGCCTAATCTGCATAATTATTTTTGTTTGGCGTTCAAAAAAGAAATTTTTTGTGGTATATTGAAAATAAATTATTTAAGTTTAATTTTATACTTGTTTTAGTTAATACATAAAAAATGTGGATATTATAATAGAATAATATATCATATTATCGCGGGATCCCGTTCATACCGAGATCCCGCGGGATTTTAAAGTCAAGTGCCGCAAATACCGGGATTTTCAATTCATTGCGGGATTGCAAGCCCTAGGACCAACATTATGCCTCTAAAAAATCTAGACTAACATTATTAGTTTTCGAAATATTAAAAAAATGTTGGAAATCCGTTTTTGATTCATTTCAGCCTTGTTTGAGGTGATATTGAAAAGAGGATCACTTTCTCATGGCAACTTTTTTCCCTCTATCGAATGCTATAATCAATTTTTATATGTAACGTGTCATCTCTCCAGGACCATCATCAACTTGATTTTCTTTAAATACGACCCTGGAAATGTTATTACATTTTTTACAAGCCTTCATAACCCGTAATACTGTGTCTGCCTGTATCAGATTCAGATGTTTTGTCTCGAAAAATCCATCTTCAATGTATTCGTTCCTTTATCTAATTGTTTTATTTAGATTTCTATATTAATTGAATTATCGTACACCCTAGGTGTCATTAGACCCTGTGAAATTGAATTTTGAACACTCGAGAAACCTAGAATGGGCACGGGATTAAAACTCTAATAATGTTTTATTGTAACGCGTGAAGGTAATAGTCTAAATAACTAGGTGGATTTCACTGGATCTAACGATACTTAGAGTGTACAATAATTCAAAAAACATAGAAATCTAAAAAAAAAAATTAGATAGATACATTGAAGATGAATTTTTCGATACAAAACGTCTGAATCTGGTTCGGACTAAGGCAGTACAGTACTGGGGGTCATAAAGGCTTGCAAAAAATGTAATAAAATAAAATAACTAGGTGGATTTTCGTCACTGAAACGGTTAAAAACTTGGTTGGTGGCATTGTTGCACCGTTTGGTGGGTCTTGCTCTTCAACAAATAGATAGACATATTAAGGTAGACATTTCAAATATTAGATATTAATAGATATGCAAGTAAAAAATATATATAAAAATTAATTCTATGACATCCTTAATTTTCTTAATACTTCTGCAATCAATATTTTTTAATTTATATTTCATACGTTTTTAATTTATATTTTATTGTTGATTGTATTTAAGTTTATTTCTTTAGTATGTGGTTTGTTATAATTCTTTACAACTTTACCCCCCTCCAAGATAAAATCATAGGTAGGTACGAACATGCTGAAGTTTTTTATGTGTGACATAGTTTTTGTTTTTTTCTTTATTTATTTTTGGGTATTTTGACACCTCTCAAAAATTTAAAAAATGATTGAAATAAATCCTTAATCCAAAAAGGATTAGTCGAGGGTTATTTTTATAAATATAGTTTTTCCTAACCAAAAAATCAAACACTGAAAAAAACAGACAAATTTGAAGTACCAAAAGCACATCATTTGTATCGCGCAACACTTAGTTGCACTAAAACGACTTCATTTGATAGAATTTGTTTAAATTTGTTCATACGAAAACAGATAGATTTTCGAAATGTCAACAACTTTTTAAAATGTGCACCACAAAGTGATGTGTTTTTTGTGCTATATTTCGTATTTGTCTGTTTCTTCAGTGTGAGATTTTTTGGTTAGGCAAAACTGTTTTTATAAAAAAAACCTTTACTAATCCTTTTCGGTGCAAAAGTTTATTTTACTAATTTTTAGAATATTTTCACAAGTGGCAAAATACCCAAAAGATAAAGAAAAAAAATGTATTTGAGTTATCTGTTTACTATATTATTTACTATTCATTTACTTTTTCTGCATTAATACCGAAAAATGCAAAATTGCACTTTTGCACAATCAGTTTACACTTTTTTATTCACCACTAATCTTTAGTAACAGGAAGAAAACCTCACGAAGCCAAGCCAGGGTGTGGCTTAAAATGCTACAAATATTAAATAAATTGCTGTAAAATAATCATAACTAAAACTTGCAACTTTGAAGAAGTTATAGTGTATAAATTTTTAAATTAAAATGCATTTGATCTTTAAGATTTTAACCCAAATTTCTCAGTTTGTTCTGGTTTTCGAGATATTCTAATCTAAAAGTGCCAAAATAGCGATTTTTTATATATTTGAGATTATGTTACGTGAAAAGATAAATAATTTTTTTGCGGAAACCATTAATGAGGTCTTAAAGTACTATATGTACTTACTCTTTAAAACGCACTTGGATTTATCTCGATATCATTTTTCGTTTTTGAGAAATCGCATGTCGAAATTTAATAGTTTGCCTTATTCCTCGATTATAGAATATACTCACAACACAGCACTACAAATCTTATGGGCTTAGGGTTTTTGGGATTAGGGTTTATGATTTCGGGATTGAGCGTATTAGCGACTTTTGCATGTAAATTTATTTCCAGATTATGATATAATGCGTAATATATCGGCCATATATCGAATTTTTAAATAGTTATTCATGATCAGCGACCCCAAAAACATGTAAAGCTTTGGTTTGTTAGAACTGTGCGTCGCAGACGACATACGCGGTTAGCAGAATCTGTAGCGTTCAACTTTATCGGTTTTGAAGGAGGGTGTTTTGTTAGATTTAGTGCTTGTGATTGTATGCTGATAAGTGCAGACGAAAATATTTATTATTATTTTGGCAAAAATTTTTTTTTCATGACAATGGTTGAATATTTTTTGCTGTCAATACTTATAGAAAACACCATGAAAAAGATCTTTTAAATTTACTTAGTTGTCGTCGTCAAAATAAAAGTGAAGATCGAATATTTTCTAACAGACGTTTGGAAGGGACGGTATACAATGGGGGATGTTCTCGTACGAGATCGATTAATTTCTCGTCTTCCTCTGGTGAAAACTTGGTTGCCATTTTAAAATTCTTTAAAAATAAATGCTTTTTTAGCACTGTACTGAACGATAATCCGGTAACGGTAACTGAACGACTGCGTTGAAATCAAATCCAATTTGATTTCGACTGAACCGACGACGGACATAATTTTCTGCCTACCGTCAGTCCACCTGAGCAGACTCTAACAAACCAGCTACGTATCTTCTTGTGTTCTAGATTTCAACGTAAGTCCGACGCGCACAACTGACTGTCTGCTTTGCGTCGCCTACATCTCTAACAAACCATAGCTTAAGATCCCTACTTCCGGGTGCCGTTTGTGGTGCTGTGTTGTCAGTATATTCGAAAATAGAGAAGTCAAACTACTAAACTATTGAATTTCAAAATGCGATTTCTCAAAGACGAAAAATGCTATCAAGATAAATCCATGAGCGTTTTAAGGAGTAAGTATAGTAATTTAGGACCCCATTAATGGTTTTAGCAAAAAAAATTACGTATCCATGTAACATAATCTCAAATATGTCAAAAATCGAGATTTTGGCACTTTTAGGTTAGGATATCTCGAAAACCTGAACCAAGTGAGAAATTTGGACCTCGGATTCAAATCCAGGCCATCAAAATCCTTCGAAAAAATACATTCCGGTGTCTGTCGGTGTTATTATGTTTGTGGTACATGCACTTCTAAATTGGGACCCGTCATATATTACAATAAAATATATCATATTTTATTTGGAAAAAAATATTAATACTGATTCGAGCAAAGCAAAAAACAATTACAATATAAATAATCGAGGTTCTTCAAAAGCTTCTGTGTATGGTAGTAATAGATATATCTCTGAAACCATAACAAACGCCTTTAAATTTTCTAAAGATGCGGTATTGAGTATTGTTTTATACCTTCTGTGGAGAAATTCTATGGTAGAAACTGGTTTGTTTAAATATTTTTTCATACATTTTTACCTTTTCTCACCATATATCTAAGGTTACAAATGTTCATAGGTCATTTTTAGTATTTTATCTATATATTTTTTATTTTAGCAAATTATATAATGAATGATTATTTAAAATCACATATTACATTGTTTTTGTATTTATTTTACAGGGTGCGAAAAAATATTCCCCGTTGACTTCTCTGTTTTATTCACACATTCATCAAATTAATAATTTTGTCCAATAGTTTTTAAGAAAATTTTGAAGTAAACCCAGACCTGTACTATGGTCCAGTACAGAACTTTATTTTATCACTTTAATAACCGAACAACTTGTTAACTAGAGTTGTTTCCTTGACGTAGATATTTGGTACCGCATTGTAAATATACAACATTGTTTCTACAAAAAACCGCCAGTGGTGTATTTTTTTCTTGGGGAAATGGAGCGGCACCTTCAGTATCTCGCCACTGGTTAATGCCACGAGGTTAATATTATATTCAATAAAAGGTGTAATTAAGTGAATACGCTGTAGTAAATTTCATTCAGTTCCGTCAGTGCATTGTGAAGATATGGCAGAAAATATATACTTTATTGTAAACTTTAACACCATGTATCTTGTATACAGTGTCTCGCAGGAAAAAAGTTTATAGAGCAAACTCTACTTGTTTTTTGGTAATGAATCTAGTCCTGCAGTTTCTATATTTAAAGTGAAATCACCCTGTATATGGCTTCATTCAAAATGAAATATCTAACTGTTTGGCAAAGGCAACAGATAAATAGACAAGTGTAATTTGTTCAAATTGAATTTATTTTTTGCATAATTCACTAACAGGGAAGAACGCAAATACATAAATCAAAGAGACAGATGTATATAACATACATATTTATTTATTGTTTAAATTTATCACATATAACATAATATTCCAGGTCCATTAGCACAATTACAATAACTTATCTGCAGTAGCCAGCCACCCATCCAGGTTCCTTGTGGCAGTATCCAGAGCAACAGTTTCCTTGACTGCCGTCAGGTTGGCAACCATTGCGGTTGGCAATGCAGGCGTATGTGCCCTGAAGACCCAAAAGGGCGAGGACTACCATGAAGAAAATAGCGAAGAATTTCATCTTGTATGAGAGGGAAAAAATATCTAAAACGAAAAATAAACATCAAATATTCCAGTTTCTTTTTTTCGGTTTTCTAAAAACACTGTTAGGACAATCTTGCTCTCAGCAATAGAACATATTTTGAACCGTTTGAACCTGCAATAGCAGTATGTAATATTACAATATTATATCTTCACCTTTTATATTTTATTTCAATTGTAGGTATAATGAAATTGATGCTATGGACCAGCTTACTCTGGCATGCACTATTATTTTCCCTGAAAATTACCCCATCACCAGATTTGACAAGAAATAATGTATGACACATGACATGCATCATAACAAAATTTAAAATTTGTGTACGACGTACGTCTTTGCTACTATCCTAAATGATTAAATTGAACAAAAAAATAATTTTACACTACAAATTAACTTCGGAAATTTATTTTTTCAAGGAACTTTTCATCCACCTGTTGATTAAAATTAGAGCCTGAGCACTTTAATCCTTTAAAGAACACCTATTTTTAGTTATAACTAAACCTGCTTCTGACAATAGTCTCTCTACAGGCGTGGATTAAAAAAGTCCAGTGTAATTCTACAATTCCTGTTAAATAAGAATTCTTTAATATTACCAAACCTCCAAGCATCGACATTCGCGCCCATTTTTCTCAATTTAGTCCCCATTCAAAGAAACTTATTCATTATTGATGTTTTGAAAGATTAATTACTCTCATACTAAATGGTCAATCATATTTTTTGTACCGAAAAAATAAAAGAAAATTATTCTACGCATACAAAAATTTGTACTGCTTTAACTATTGAACTAAAAAATTGTGTACGTGTCTTGAGCCTAGATTTTATTCGAAGGAACTACCTTAAGCCGGACCTGTTCAAAGTGTGCGCGATCAGATTACCTCGCACACTCCACTTCCCCGCAATTTGGCTTCATCGGTTCTCATGGATAGGAAACGTACACTCTAGGTGCTCTGTGACATATCATACATTATTATTGTTGCGAATAGGAAGAACATAGAGAGAGAGAGAAAAGAAGATATGCTCATATTACTGCCGAGAATTTGTTTACTAATATGTATATTCTTTTTTATAGATATTGTTTTGATATATTCATTTTGTGCGATTCGTGCTTTTGTCCAGATCAATATTATTCGATATTATTGACAACACATTATTGACGACACAATCATTATCGTCAATATTTTAAAAGTTAATATCGTATTCTTGCAAATATTGTCAAAGAGAGTATTGTATCGATATCGTATCGAAAATCGATACGATATCGATATTTTTATCGAATATCGGGAAGCCCTAATCTAGACAGAAAGTACCGGCCAGAAATGCATTATCAATAGTTTATTTTCCCAAATCAAGTACAGTATTTTTATCTATACTCCGCGGTCGAAATTATAAAGAGTGACATAAGAAATTATAAAGACATAATATAAAAACACTATTACCATAATGCGTATAAAATATAAAATGATTTTTATACGGTTCAATTTTATTTATCTTTGTGCCGCTCGCTACGCACATCGATAGAATCTATAATCGTCTGGAGACCGAGTTACACTGAACGTCGATCTATATTCTATCTCTGTCTTTTGCACTTGGCAGGGAATAGGGAAATGCTTTTTTAGTGGGTGTAAACGGACTTGATTTAACCCGTCTTGAGAAACGTCATAGCATAAGCGTAGACGAGGGGTCTAATTCCATGGCTATAATAAATTTATAAATTAAAAAAACACAATTGGGACGTTTTAAAATGCTGTAATAATTAAAATGGATCAAAGTGCTTGTTATAGCAAACCGTAAAAAATTTTAGATGTTATGTTTTATTATCTTGTTTCATTATTTTCTATATCTTGTTGCCTTTTACGCAGACACGCCATTGGATTTTCGTTCCCGGCACGCTTCATCCCCCTTACTAGTCCAAAAGCTAGCGATGAATCACTCTATAATTTCGACCGTGGAGTATAGTTTTTATTATGTTCGTTTTTTAAAAAAATATTATTTTTAAACGTAAATTAGTCCTATTTACAAGTAGGAACGTATCTAAGTACCTATATTGGTTAATACTTACCAAAACATGTAAAAATTTTTAATTTTTTAGAAACAATTTTTTTAATGGTCGGCACTACATCCACATTGACTGTGACTAAATATTTTTTCATTAGTTTTCATTAGTTTCGCTGTCTAAGAGTTAATTAAGAAAAAAAATGTAATTAGTGACGTATTTAGGTACCAATATCAGTTAATACCTATATGTTTAATAAATCATGTAAAAATTTTCATTTTACTAAATAATTTTTCATTGTAACTTCGCATAATATTGATTGACTTAAAAACGAGGAAAAATAATTTCATAGAAATAAGCCTTGACTTATTATCAATAGTTAAGAGTTATAGTTAATTTAAATAATTTTTTTTCGTGAGTGGCAAAATAGACACAAAAAAATATTTTGATATAAGTAAGAGTAATAACAATGAAAATTTACTTACTTGATCTTATTAAATAGCTTTGTTCAAATGGCTTATGACCACTTGCAGTGCTGTTTCTTTATATATCTTACTGCAAGTCTACCCCACTATAAGTACGAATTCTGATTAAAGGAGGTCAAATCTCGTAATTCTATATGCTGCTTTTATTCCAGAAAATGTATTATCTCGGGTTTTTCCGAAAACTTTCCACACGACAGACGGTGTTACATAATAAATTATCTATTCTCCAGTTAGTATATAACTAAAACATATCACTGGGCTGTGGCAAAAATGGCATATACAGGATGTATCTAAATAACACCGAAAAAATGTAAGGGGGATTCTCTGATGAAAATTAATAGGGGTCTTTTGTATATATTTTTTTTAAAAACCCTGAAAAGTTACGCCCCCCCTAAAAAAAATTTAAAAAAGTTGTTTTTTTTTTATCTTTTGTATATCAAGCTAAAGAAAACAGACTTGGTAAACATTATGTAAAAAAAAACTACACTTTTTAAAATTTTTTCAACCCTGAACTATTTTTGTAAGGGGTTGAAATAATCAACCCTTATGACATTTTTTCTTATAATTTTTTTCGATACAATTTTTTCCTTTCAAAAAATACGTCTAAAAATACCCATTCATTTACAAAATTTTTGATCTCCAAGTTTTTTGGTTAAAGTTAAGGATTTATGAGAAAAAAAAATTATTGCAATGCATTCTTAAAAAGATGATATGTTTAACGCAAGTGTATTTTGCCGAAATATCTAGTGGCCTGTTCTTTGTAATAGTATCCATTGAAACAAATGTCAATATCATTTATTGTTACTGTTTCTTACTCTTTCACAAGTTTGATGATTTTGTGTAGAAAACATTAGTTTTTTTTTAATTTTTGAAGTTGCGTAACTTTTCAGGGGAGCTTTTTCAAAAAATTTTATACCAGAGACCTCTATTAGTTTTCATCAGAGAATTGTTCCTTACATTTTTTTTGGTGTTATTTGGGTACACCTGTATATATACAGGGTGATTATTTCCGGTAATTGTGAAAGAATATTGAAAATTTCTATAGGTATTGCTACATGCATTATTTCTTTTTTAATATTAAAAAAAAATCAAATGTTTAATGGCAATTATATCATGTTTGTATAATAAAATGCATTGATGATAACTTAAAAAGTAATTCGGAACACAAACAAATTACAAAAGAGAAAAAAATTGATGTAAACCCTATTGATTTAAATATTACAAAGTATTTAAGTTGTTTGATTAAAAAACAAAAAAATCTTTTGCAAACTTAAACTCCATTCTAGTGACTAAGCCAAGCGATGTGATGTATCAGTCCAGTCCGTACGATATTTGTTGAGATCCCAGAAGACCCCTGCGGCACTTTCTTGGAATTAACCGCATTTGACACGCGAGGTAAAAAGGCATTGACGGTGTTGCGTTCATCGTAACATCTAGTTACATACATGTTTATTCCTTTTTTGTACCAGTGAGCGTGTTATAATTATATTATCTTTTAGTTTATTTTATGATTTGAACTCTACTGCACTGTAAAGGAAATAAAAATACGTTGTAATCCCAAAACTCTACTTTATACATAATATATTTGCTTTATATATATTTTTTTATTTAAACGTTTTTATTCCACTACGTTTAAAAAACTGGAGGTGTCCCAGTATTTTTTTATTCATATAGAAAAGAAAAAAAGAAGAAAGAAAAAGAAGAAAAGAAGAAAAGTTCATATAAACGTAGGTCTAAATATGCTTCGTTTCGTAGATACAGAGTGTTTAAATTTTAATTTTTTATTTATTTTTATCAATTATTTCAAAGAGTTTTAAAGGTATTGGCCCGAAATTTGAAGAACGCTTTGGAGGGATATATGTGCATTTTTTGGGATGAACCGAATATTTCTAGTTGCACCAGTGGCGTTCGTGCGAGAATGCCACAACCTCTTTTAATAGAAAAAAAATGGTACGAAACTGACTTTTCCCGTTTTGACATATTTTTAGAAATCCGCTATCAATTCTGAATGAAATTGGTCACTTCAAATTTTTTCGTAATTTACACCGTTTTGGAGGAAAAAAGTAAAACATATTTTATAGAAGCTTTTATTAATATTTTATTAAAGGTCAGTTTTAATAAAGCGTTATTATGGTCAAAGTAAAAATGCAATTCAACATTGAAAATAAAAAGTTGATATGAAAGTGGTTAAAAAATTCTTCGATTTCGAGTTACAGGATGTTCAAATTCTAATCTTAAATTTTTTTTCTCTTGAATATTTCAAAAAGTTTCATTATCTAATACAGTAACATTAAACTAAAACAATGAATATAATATAACAGTAATAAAAATATTTTTTAATAGTCGCAAACAGATGTTGAAAATGACTTCCCTCACAAATGTATGTAGGTATACATAAATGTTACAGGTTACAAAAAATATTGCACTTAGTAATAATTAAGGTATATAGGGTGTTATATGGATAATAATGCTTCGAGTTCACACCCATGGCGTCCTACTAGTAAACATTAATATCAGAAACTTGGACAAAAATTTTTGTTTCAAATATTGGGTAATTATTTTCTTGGTACTCTGACATGATTTATTTGTTTCATATGCTTGAGAGGTCATTAGTGTTATCCTGCAGCAAATGATAATGTATAGTGAAAAAGTATACAGCATACTAGTTGATCATCTCTATAGGAAAATTTGGGAGGTCAGGATTTTTAAAGATGTTTTTAATTAAACATAAAAACTGCAATCTCTACAGGGTGGTTCGAATTTTATGCAGGAAACTTCGAGGGAAGATATACCTCTTTATAATAATATGTGTTTACCTTATAAACATTGGTCTGGAACAGCCCCGTTTTAGAGGTACAGGGTGTTGAAGTTGTTAAAAAAATTGATTTTTTGTTTATATCTCCGGAATCTATTAACCGATCTCAATAAAATTTGGTATAGATAATGTATGATAGTAGGCTTTATATTCTCTAAAATATGAGCTTTAAAGATTTTACCAGTGGTCTACAACTGGACAGGAGTCACACTTTTTCTACAAAAAAACCTACGCTACTGCATTTTTTACAAGTGATTGTAACTGATTTATATTCTAATGCACAAAATACGTAAAAAGGTGACTTTAATTTTTTTTCCTAAGATTCGCCGTTCTCAAGTTATTCATACCAATACAATCCCCTTGTGGCAGACACTTCTAACCATAATATTACGAGAATATTTATGTTTATGCTTAAAAGTAAGTGCAATTTGTTAGCACATCAACATTATTTACACTCCTTCCTACACCACCTGTGAGGTAGTGTTCCTGGCGTGTTTTAGTTTTCCCTGGTCTGCAGTCCTAATACTCTTTACAAATAAGAACAATTTAAATCATAATAATAATAAAAATATATTTACCAAGCAACAGCAACTAAACAAGAAACAAAATTAACGTTACGTACCACATCTACACATTTCTGACATCTTCTATTAACGGAATGAATTATCCGTCTTCTATCCGTTGCACTAGTTGTGGTCTTAGATCTGTTGTAGTAGAATAAACTTTACTTTTCAAATAACCCTAAACATAAAAGTCCAAGGGAATTACATATGGCAATCTGGCTGGCCAAGACACTGGATCCTCTGCACCATTATGGTTGACATTGGCATTTGGTATTCTACCTATCACCCCATATAATTTTCATTAAGCCATTCTTATGTTATTCTCCCAGAATGTGCAGGAGGACCATCTATTGTATCCAGCTATTTTGTCGTATATTTAATGGAACATCCTCTAATAATTCAAATAGATGGTTTTCTAGAAAGTTTAGAAATGTCTGGAAATTTAGACGGGGTGACAAGAAGAAAGGTCCACAAATTTTATTGCGAATTATTCCTAGCTACACGTTCACAGAAATTCGTGTTGAAAAGATCTTATCCGAATTTCATGTGGATTTTCTTGTGACCAAATATGCATATTGTGAAAATTCACTACCCCTCACCTTTGATAAATTGTTCTTATTTGTAAAGATAGTGGGTTAGGCTTCCAGGGCAAACTAAAACTCGTAAGGAACTTTACCTCGCAGGTGGTGTGGAATTTTGTAGATGTGCTTACAAATTCCACTTACTTTTAAGCATAAACATAAATATTCCTGTAATATTATGGTTGGAAATGTCTGCACAAGGGATCGTACTGGTATGAATAACTTGAAAACGGCGAATTTTAGTGAAAAAAGTCAAGTTACCTTTTTTACGTACTTTGTGCATTAGAATATAAAAAAATGCAGTGAGATGACCCCTGCCCAGTTGTACACCACTGGTTGTACCTTTAGAGCTCATATTTTAAGGAATGCCTACTATCATAGATTATCTGTGCCAAATTTTATTGAGATCGATTAATAGATTCCTGAGATATAAACAAAAAATCATTTTTTTTAACAACTTTAACACCTTTTATCTCTGAAACGGGGCCGTTCCAGACCTATGTTTATAAGGCAAACACATATTAAAATTCGGACCACTCTGTATATTGTTATATTTTTTGTGTTTAACGGAAAATGTTATTAATGTATTGTTATTATATCAATTATTATTAAAATAAACTAATTTTTACATTATTTCTACTGTTTTTCTTCAGTACAGTAGGGTACCTACTTAACTTTTTTTTTTTGAAATTATGAAAAACCACAAATTACATAATTATGTTTATTTTTGATGATATTTTTTCTATTCACAAATGAAAAAACTGTATGTGGATTCAAAATAAATGAAAACTGTTTAAGTCAAATTATAAAAAATACTATCACCAGTAATATTTATATTATTATTGTCTTTACACCAAGTTACGGTGATAACATTAAATAAAAATTACATTCTCCTTTTCTATGAACAACAAGATTAAAAGCCACAAGAATGATTATACCAATTTATTCACGCATATGATTTTATAATAGATAACAATACGAGTATATCCCAGTGTCCAATAGCGTGGTTTTTATTAAGTAAACAATTTGCAGTAGCCAGCTACCCTTCCTGGTTGCTTGTAACAAATTCCTGAACAACAATTACCTAGACTTCCGTCAGGTTGGCAACCGTCGCGATTTTTTATGCAGGCGTAGGTACCTTGAAGACCGA